AGTATTTATATCTCTATCGAGTTTTCGAATAGCAAGTAATTCTGGTGACGGTCCTGTGTGAATAAATCTAAAAATAAATGATAAAAACGGAGTAATTACTCCCAGAAAAGGTACAACACTTGCTGCAACTGCTGTTTAAGCAGTTGGAAGTGCAGTAGACACTGCAATGGCTTCAGCGATGCCCTTGCCAGCATTAAGACTGCTAGTGATATGATCGGTGGTTGTCGATTTTTTTTGTTTTGCATCTTCAGCATGTAAAAATGTTACAAATAACACGAGAACCAACAGCAGCTTCATCTTCGCACTACAAAAGATAAAACAAATGCTCAGTTTTATAACATGATTTTTTTTTTAGATAGTTAAGAAAAAAAATCATTAGTGTTATTGATTACAACACGGGTTTGGCCCTTTTATGCTAAATATTTTACCACAAGCAATACACAAGAAGCATGGATATTATATAACTATAAAGTCTAGCTTATATGAATCAATATGCATGCCAGTTGAAGGAGAAGTACTGTTGATCCCAGAGGAATACCAAGTGTCTGCTCAAAACCACTTTAAACCAACGTCACATATTTGTTGTCAATGAAAAACTAAGCAACATGATAGTTACACAGTTCTGACCTCTTGCTTAGGTCGTTTTTTTTACAAATGTAATTTTTCCATTCATTATACAAGATAGTTGTTTCTCTAATTTTTGTAGTATTTTCACATTTCTTGATCGGTGTGAGAAAAATATTTCTCCTCACTAGTGCAATATCTGTTCTCGGCAAATGATTAGTCGAAATTTAATTATGTCGTTAAATTTTCTTGGTTTCTTCTGAATTTCCTTTTGTGACGTCATGAAAAATTGCGACCATGCCTGATGACGTCACATATAAAGAACACAACTTTCTGAAAATCTTTGAAAAGGGAATGAAAAAAATCATCAGAGAAACAGATTCCACCACTATAACTCGTGTATTACGATATTTCTCCACTCTCAACAGTTAAATTTTAATTATTTAAAAAGCTCGGTAAGCCTCGCGCTTCAAATATTAAATTTTAACTGTCTCGAGTGGAGAAATATCGTAACACATTTGTTGCAGTGGTGAAATCTATATATCTACCTTGTTTATTTTTATAAAACAAAGTTTTTAATTTTATAATGAGGAGTAACTGTGTGAAGAGTAGAGAAGTCAAAAGTTTTGGACCATCTTAACTCTCTACTATGATGAATGCCCATCAACATCTAGAAAAGTTTATACGTTTTTTGAAAATTGAGCAAATTATGCTCCACATATGACACCTGGGGTCTCGGTCATAAACCTTAACTCAGTGCTCGGAGTACAACATTTGTGCTCGAAACATCAAATCAATTATTTTGATTGGTTGATTTCTGAGTGTGAGTTTTAAAAATGTACTCAAAAGTTTTATGATCGCAAGTCCAGTCGTGTTACACCTATACAACATGTTGACGAGTTACTTAGTATATCAAGTGATTAGGCATCTCGCAATATCGTATTGGTAATTGACTCTATTCTAACCTTAAGATATCGCCACATTCATAAAACATCACAATTATGAAATAGAGTCAAATTGAATAGGTTGTTGCACGAACACTTTGGTATTACGTTGGAATGAGGCCTTGAAAGTAGTTGACCTACATTGGGTTCTTATCTACCGAAAAATAATAAAAATTTGTATCTGACACTTTGTTTTATTTATGCTAATGGCAACCATGTGTGCTTTGTTGTTGCATTATCAGATGCATTTTTAACGATGACATCAAAAAGATTGTCTGATTGGACTGTAAAATGATCAGAGGATATTATCTGAACGAAAAAGGTATATATTGACTACGGCAATTACAATATTTCTTGGACATAGGGAGAGTACTTCTGGAATATCTTCTGGATCCGATCATATATAGATTGTCTTTGGTTGAATGAACATGTCTGAAGTTTAATTCACTCAAAAGAACGTTTTAAAAGAAACGTAGACATTCGCCTTCACAAAACAGCAAACACGGGAACATGTGTAACGTTATATAAGCAGAGTAAACATTCGCTTTCAAACACAAACTTTTCTTAAGGTAGCAGTACACAATTAGGAGTGTGGTTTCGCATTTTGGCCCCGTTGGATTTTACAAATATATAAGTTCTTATGCAATTAAATTCATTTTTAGACAGCTGATAACTAATAAAGTGGGTTTATATGAACAACTTGATTGTTTTTACATGTTTTTTGGGCTATTTTCTGTTTTACAGTTCAATATTTTAACATTCTGTCTGCCCAGAGGTCCAGAAATTATTATAATGTTTACAAAAACTTTTTTCAAACGAACTTTTGGACGTAATTTTTTTTTTAAATGAGAGGAAAGACATACGATTTTTAAAACAGTTTCAGAAAAAGTATCACTCTCGGAGAAAGAAATTTTACTGTCAATGTTTTTTAGGAAATACGTTGCATCTTCACACCCTTTCTGCAATATGATATAGCAAATAAATGCAGAGTGTTGCCATGGACGAACCAACAAGAAAATATATTCAACAATTATAACAACTAGAAATCAAATATATGGAAGATACTTATTACATACATATGCCCTTATACGACACAAACCAAACTGTATGCTTAATTTGTAAAAAAAAGCATGGACAACGGGATTGTAAAATTAATGATGATAAATTTTAATTTGGTTTTTCCTAACAGTATATTGCTACCTAATGTTCGAGCATTGAAAGAGGATTACAACAACTTACCTTCCACTTATTGAGTGGTAATATAAATGAAGGTATAGAATATAGGCCATGGTCATTCATGATAAAATTGAGTGTGATTTACATATATGAAGATAAGGAGATGTAGTATGACTGCCAATGAAACAAGTACCCACCAGAGTTTTCATCATCATCATCATCATCATCATCATCATCATCATCATCATCATCATCATCATCATCATCATCATCATCATCATCATCATCATCATCATCATCATCATCATCATCATCATCATCATCATCATCATCATCATCATCATCATCATCATCATCATCATCATCATCAGCAGCAGTAGCAGCAGCAGCAGCAGCAGCAGCAACAGCAGTAGCATCAGCAGCATCATCATCACTATCATCATCATCAGCAGCAGCATCATCATCGTGTGTTTTCATGCTTCCGAGAGCTTTGAACTCCTGATTGAAACTAATTCGACGAGATATCTCATGAACCCTAGCTGTTTCATGATATGTTCAAAACGTCAATAGGCGATCTTATATCGTTTATCATTCATATTTCATACAAGGACTACTTTTAAATTAAGATTGATAAAAATAAATAGAATAAACATTTTAGTATACATGTATTTATTCTTTGCTTTTTTAAACTTTGACAGACATAATTTTAACGGTATATTCACAGTAATTTATATTTAAAGTTTTCTTAATAATGGCGTGCTCGGACAAAATCCATAAATTTGGAAAATTGTATAATGTTAAGGACAAGCAGCTGCAAGCTCTTGAATACCAAATGAGTTGGGAAATGTATATCCCATATGCAGGTGAAGTTAATATTTTGCTACTAAAGTGGGTGAAATTGTTAATTTCAAAATTAAAATTGTCTCGTTTGTCATAGATTCTGGTACTGTGGTGACCGCTTATGTCAAATTCGAGGTATAAGTCTAAAAATGAGGCAGAGTAATTTACACTGAATGCTTGTGGATGTAAGTGACTTACTCTGAATATTGGTGAAAAATAGTGATTCACTCTAAATACTGAATGCTGGTGAACTTGAACTATGTACTTCTGATACTGGTGGCTGTGAATTATAGAATATCAATAACAAACACTTCCAATGTACTGTATTTTAAACCAAAAATCATCTCTGACTATATTAAGACCGTACATCACATTTACAGATGATATCGGATATGTTCCTTATGTCGTAACTACATTACCCTTCCCTTTTCACGAATGTGATTTACCGAATAAGACTATTTACCGGATTTGTAATAACATAAGCAACACGACAGGTGCCACATGTGGAGCAGGATCTGCTTACCCTTCCGGAGCACCTGAGATCACCCCCAGTTTTTGGTGGGGTTCGTGTTGCTTAGTCTTTAGTTTTCTATGTTGTGTCATCTGTACTATTATTTGTCTGTTTGTCTTTTTATTTTTGGCCATGGCGTTGTCAGTTTGTTTTCGATCTATGAGTTTGACTGTCCCTCTGGTATCTTTCGTCCCTCTTTTACATATCTTGATCTGTTTGATACATAAGATGAACATTTCAAAATGGTCTGATTTCAATATATTTTTTTTCAGCAGGACAAAAAATGTTCAAAAATCGTAAAAAATATAAAAAATTAACAGCCCATGTTTAAAATGAAATTAACGTGATTTTAATAAACAAACTACACGTATGAAATATAAGATTAATAATTCATGGTTGACAATAAGCGTGTGGATCAGACTAAAAGCCAATAAAAATCTTACGACAGCCAGCTCTCTTGTATTATCACGTAAACACAGTACTATGAGGGAATACTTTTGATATTTGAGCAACCCGACGGGTGTTACATGTGGAGCAGGATCTGCCTACCCTTCCTGAGCACCTAAGATCAACCCAAGTTTTTGGTGGGGTTCTTGTTGCTTAGTCTTTAGTTATTTGTGTTGAGTTTTATGTACTATTGTTTGTCTGTAGGTCTTTTTCTTTTTCAGCCATGGCGTTGTCATTTTATTGACTGTCCCACTGGTACCTTCGCTTCTCTTTTACTGTACTATAAATAAGCGCTGTAGCATGTCAACGCATATTATTATAAAGAAACATATTGCATTTCTGTCATCATTTTTTCTCCAACTCCAATCCGAAGAGTTGACTTTGCTTGTTTATGTACTGGTGTAAAACTTTTTACTTTTTCAATAAAATTTTGAGATCTCGTTTTCTTTTTGGAAGAAAATAGCCAACAATCTAACAATATATCAATTTCATATATAACTTTATTGTTGAACACATGCCTATCCAAAAACGTGGATGTGGTTATATTTTTCATTCCTCAGAACTAGTCGGCTTGGTGATGCCTTATACGTTGGTGCCGCGCCATTGTCGATTACACCAATTGCAACATAGGGCGAGCAATGATCTTTCGCCTCGGCAGGGAATGTTTCATAGGCTGAATGAGAATCTACTCTGGTGTAAATCGTTCCGCAGTGTGGTCGGCAGTGGCCTTTGTGTGAGGTGTGATCATGGACCGCATTAACAACAGCTTTAGCTTTAGTCATGTCTAAATGACGTGTCCTCTTATCAACGCTCGCTACTGCGATGTTTCGGCCACGGTTCCTAAATTTAAGATAACCGCCACATGCTTTGTTCCAATGGACATCACCTCCAGTAACGTCTTTGTAGGAGATGACCATCCAGTCCCTCCAATAATATTTTTGGGTAAGGATGTTATACATGTTATTAGCCCAGTCATGATTGTTCATCTTATCCCCTGGATGATCTAGTGCATATCTGTCAATATCAATGGTTGACTGGTCGTGATATTTTGCAGCTATTGTAAAATCAGCATGACTCATTGCAGATCGAACATGGTCAAAACGAGATTTCCATTGTTTTGTGTGATAGTCTACGTTTGCACTTAGACCTTTTAGTTGCAAATATGCAATTTCAAGTTCGGCTGCCCTCAGTAACAATTTAAGTATCCCTGAACTGAATGTTCCACATCTTCTCCGATCATACTGGGTATATTTCATACAGGGAATTAACAACCCTTCACCGAAGACATTTCCTGCGTTCATAACTCCGTCATAAAGTTTAATGCCACTATTCTGAAAATCACTTTCATAGTTGCTGATGAATAATTGTTTCTCTCCGTTTAGAGCATTACTTGGTGCTTGGTACATTTCTTTATATATGCGATAAACGGCGTTAATTTTTTGCTCAATATCGGAAAACTGGACCTTTACGGTATTCCAATTTATCAGTCTTTTCACATCAGCAAATTTGGCGTCTACTTGATCGAAACGAGTATCAATATCTTTATGAAGTTTTCGAATAGCAAGTAATTCTGGTGACGGTCCTTTGTGAATAAATCCAAAAATAAATGATAAAAACGGAGCAATTACTCCTAGAAAGGGTACAACACTTGCTGCAACTGTTGTTAGCGCAGCGGGAAGTGCAGTAGAAAGTGCAACGGCTTCAGCAATGCCCTTGCCAGCATTAAGACCACTGGTAATATGGTCGGTAGTTGTTGATTTTTTTTGTTTTGCATCTTCAGCGTGTAAACATGTTAAACATAACAAGAGAACCAACAGCAGCTTCATCTTCGGACTATAAAAGAGAGAACAAATGCTCAGTTTTATAACATGATTGTTTTTTTTAAGAAATAACTCATTGGGGTTATTGATTTTAACACGGGTTTGGTCCTTTCATGCTAGATGTTTTACCACAAGCAATAAACAAGATGCATGGATGTTCTATAACTATAAACTCTAGCTTATATGAATCAATATGCATGCTATTTGACAGAGAAATACTGTTGATCCCAGAGGAATGCCACGTGTCTGTTCAAAACTACGTTCAACTAAACGTAACATATTTGTTGTCCATAATATTTGTTGTCCATAAATAAAAACAAGGAACATGTCAGATACACTGTTCTGACATCTCGTTTAGTTCAGTTTTTTTCACAAAGTATGATTTGTTCGCTCATAATACAAGATATTTGTATCAACCTTGTTCATTTTTATAAAACAAAATTATTAATTCTATAATGAGGAGTAAGTGTGTGGAGGGTAGAAAAGTCAAAAGTGCTGGATCATCTTAACTCTCTACTATGAAATACACGTCATATATATTTTTTTCTATTTAGCTTTTCTATATGATGAATGCCGATCAAAACCTGGAAATGTCTATAACTTTTTGAAACAAAAAAATGCATTTAGATATTTCCAGCTACACCGATTTGTCTGTATGGAATATAAAAATAGTGAAAAGAGTTATTTCCTTAAAAGATTATAAACCTTAACCATTGCTGGACATGAACCAATGTTTTTTTGTATTTTTGACCTCTCAGTGCTAGTAGCCTGTAGACTCGAGGTATTGTCATGTCTCAGTGACTGAAAACAAAATGTTGGGTTTGTTTTGTGAGGAAGTAATTCGTATACCAACTTTTCAAATCAATTTTACACAAACTCCTACAACATGATGATTTCGTTTTTTGTTTAGGTACCATTTGATTTTTATGGGGGGGGGGGGGGGTGATGGGCTTGGATGAAATTTGAAAGAAAAGGCAGGACAGGAGTTTTGAGTAAAAACAAAAAAAAAGGCAGGATGACAATTTATGTAAAAAAAGTCAGGATAAACTAATAAAAAAAAAGGCAGGACCGAATAGAATGGAAAAAAATAGGCAGGAGAGAGATTACAACTAAAAAAAATTCAGGACACCTAGCCACATTTGCATGATTCACGAGGCCTTTATTAATTTTGAAAAGCAGTGACAAGAAAAATCATGTACTGAAGCTTACTATATATCTTTGCAATATAAAAGAGAGGCAGAAGATACCAAAGGAATATTCAAACTTATAAGTCGAAAAAGAGTTTACTATGTCATGGCAAAAAAACAAAGAACGACCGAAAGACAATTAACAAAACACAACATAGAAAACTAAGGACTGAGCAACACAAACCACATGAAAAACCGGGGGAGATCTCAGGTACTCCGGAAAGGTAGCGCACATTATGCTCCACATATGTCGTGTTACACCTATAAAATATGTTGACAAGTTAATTCCTTTATATATCAAGTGATTAGGCATCATACAATATCGTGCAGGTAATTGACTCTATTCTAACCTTAAGAAATCACCACATTCATAATACATCACAAATATAAAATAGAGTCGAATCTGCCAATTGAATAGGTTGTTTCATCAAACACTCCGTTGGCCTTGAAAGTAGTTGACCTACATTAGTTGACCTACATTAGTTGACCCTACATTAGTTGACCTACATTAGGTTCGTATCTACCGGAAAATAATCAAAATTTGTATCTGCCACTATGTTTAATTTATGTTAATGGCAGCCATGTGTGTTTAGGCGTTGCATAATCAGATGCAGCTTTAAAGATGACATCAAAAAGATTATCTGATTGTGTTTTAAAATTATCAGAGGATTTTATCAGACCGACGAAGGTAAATATTGACTACGGCAATTGCAATATTTCTCGGACATAGGGAGAATACTTTTGGAATATCTTCTGGATCCGATCATAAATAGATTGTCTTTGGTTGAATGAACATGCCTGAAATTTAAATCATGCACTCAAAACAATGTTTTAAAAGAAAAGTAAACATTCGACTTCACACAACAGCTAAACACGGGAACATTTGTAACAACTTTATATCAGCAGAGTAAACATTCGCTTTCAAAAACATATTTTGCTTAAAGTAGCAATACACAGTTAGGATTGTGGTTTCGATTATTGGCCCCGGTAATTTATTTAAAATTATGTAAGTTATTGTGCAATCAAATTCATTTGTTAGACAGCTGATGACAAATTAAGCCTTCAAAGTGGGTTTATATGAACATCTGGATATTTTTTTACATGCGTTATGGGCTATTTTCTGTTTGACAGTTTATATTTTCATATTCAGACCGCCCATAGGTCCAGAAATTATTGTAATGTTGTATCAAACAAACGTTTGGACGTAATTTTATTTTTTTTTAAATGAGACGAAAAACGTATGATTTTTAATTGATAGCTACATGTAAACAGTTTCAGAAAAGGTATCACTCCAAGGGAATGAAATTTTACTTTTGGTCATTTTTTTTGGGAAATACGTTACATGTTCACCGGCACCCTTTTTTGCAATATTAAATAGCAAATAAATGCAAAGTGTTGCCATAGATACACCAACAAGGAATAATATTTAACTATTATAACGACTAGAAATCAAACATATGGGAGATACTGATTACATACATATAGATATAAGAAGATGTGGTATGAGTGCCAATGAGACAACTCTCCATTCAAGTCACAATTTATTAAAGTAAACCATTATAAATCAAAGTACGGTCTTCAACACGGAGCCTTGGCTCACACCGAACAGTAAGCTATAAAGGGTCCCAAAAATGACTAGTGTAAAACCATTCAAACGGGGAAACCAACGGTCTAATCTATATAAAAAACGAGAAACGAGAAACACTTATGAACCACATCAACAAACGACAACTACTGAACATCAGATTCCTGACTTAGGACAGGTGCAAACAATTGCAGCGGGTTTTAAAGTTTTAATGGTACTAAACCTTCACCTTTATCTGAAACAATAGTGTAACATCACAACATAGAAAGACACACTATAAAATATCAATTGAAATGGCTTAACTCAATCAAAAGACATATTAACACAAGTGAACATACAATGAACGAATAAATTTGATCTATGATAAAATGTAAATACAAAATCAATAAAATAAGGGATGAATAATTAAAGTAACAGTATTATACCGCTGTGAAATGTTTGAGAGTACTTGCAGTTAATGACAGTTAGTTAAAAGCCAAAAACAATTAATAATAAAAAAAAAATCATGCATCAGAGACTAAAATCAACTAAAACACATCCCAGGGATTTAGTATTTTAACGCCATGGACAGTCAAAGAAGACATGACTTGTGCAATGCCAAAACAAAGTGTATCGACAGGCAGTAGGACAGTAAGGAGTTAACCTCTTAATAGATAAAAACGAACGTGGGTGTGTCTTTATACATCCCGTTTGAAAAGAATACAAATTTACAGTTTTAATTTGCTGATGACAAAATCTATATTAGTGCCAATGTAAACTATATTGAAGGATCTAATTACAACATTAGTAAGATAACCTTTACTAATAAGTTTGTTTTAAGGTTCGATGAGTTTACACGGATCACATAGTGATTTCCGCGCTTTTAGTACAATATTACCGTAAAATTTAGGATGTGAAATACCGTTTTTAATAAGCTTTTTTACAGGTACAGCCAAATTTACCAATCAAATTTTTGTATCTATGAAAGAATTTAGTCAAAGTTTTAAGTAATTTATGGTAACGAAATCCCTGACTTAATAATTTACCAGTGATGCATTGATTACGTTCGTTAAAATCTATGACATCACTACACACACGGGCATAACGAACGAGTTGGGATATATAAACACCGTATGATGGAGCCAAAGGAACGTCGCCGTCTAAAAAGGGAAAATTAACAATAGGGAATGAAAAATCGTCTCTTTTGTCATAATTTTAATATGGAGTTTCCCTTTAGAAATTGAAATGTCTAAATCTAGAAAAGGACAAATACTGCTGTTTATGTTAGATTTAGTTAAAATAAGTTCTTTTGGATAAATTTCGGTAGTATATTTAGAGAACTCTGGATTATTTAACGAAAAAATATCATCCAGATAACGGTAGGTATTGTTGAATGTATCTACCAAATGTAACAATGACGTGTCTTTACTGAGTTTGGTCATAAACTGAGATTCATAGCAATACAGGAACAAATCTGCTATTAAAGGGGCGCAGTTAGTGTGCATAGGTAAACCTATTTCTTATCGATACACTTTATCGCCGAAACGTACATTGTCCAGGAGAAGTGCACTAATATGACACAAACAGTAAGCTTAATTTGCAAGAAAGCAAGGACAAGGGGATGGTAAAATTAATAAGGGCAAGTTTTAATTTGTTTTTCCTAACTGTATATTGCTACCTAATGTTCGAGCATTGAATGAAGATTACAACAACTTACCTTCCACTTATTGGACGTACAACAATATAACTGCTATTTTTCAGATAGATGTAGAGATATAATGTATAGAATATAGGTCATTGCCATTCATGATAAAATTGAGTGGGATTTACATATATGAGAATAAGGAGATGTAGTATGATTGCCAATGAAACAAATACCCACTAGAGTTCAAATGACAGAGATAAAAGCAAGTATAGGTCAACGTACGGTCTGAAATAATGAGAAAAAAACATATCGTCCAGTCGATATAAAACATGTGAAAGGCCCGACGTGTGCATTATTATTAACTTTATGTAAGCCCAAGTACAAAGATTGAAACGTTTGGATAAACCTATGACTATTTAAGAAGCAATTGACAGTGTGTGAATGCAAATCAGAACAATTACTGAAAAATCAGGCTGCTTAAGTTTATCAAAGATCCCGACATCTAATTTGGTACTCCTGGTGTGCGCTGTAAGACAAGACTACTTTCACATTATTACTTTCTCTATTTCTGTATTATTTTTCATTAAGAAAAGCGTACATGTTATGTTTC